AGCGATCCTAAAGTATTTTGTTTATGGCTCGATCAGTATTAGGCCAAGTATGCCTCCCTTATTCACATTTTCATGTGCTTATTCTGCGATAATTGTGCTTATGTCCCTCAAACAGATGAGTGTGCATATGTTGGTGCATGAAGCGGATTGTGTGTTTTCACATTGTCATGTATGCTTATCTGTCATACCCGACAGACTAGCCTGAAAATAGGCCCCGCAACTGGTTGGTGAAACGCGATGAATTAGAAAAGAGATAGTCACTTTTCCACCAATGCCTGAATCAGAACTGCGTCCAGCTAGCAACTGGTACCGGCCGTCACACGAGACTTTCTGTGACCTAACGACAGTATTAAAGGGGGCAGAATCCAAAATAAAGTGTTTATCGCACGAACTCATTACAGTCGAAACATTATAACATAATGACTTGTTGTGGAGGCTATGGGTGAGTGTTGCATTCACATTTTTTTCTTCGTTCCCTAATATATTTCTTCATTTATATTGATACAAACTCTTTATAAATGAGCATATATAAATATATATATATATCATATTTATATATGTTTTATATAAGCACCAATGCCTAATTTTCAAAATAAAATTATGGTTAAGGATGGTATTCAAATAATCCAAATAATGCATTTTTCATGGATTTCATTAACCAAAAAGTTGTAAAATTTACGTCTGACTCTTAACACCTCAAGCTTGCCAGTCAGTCTTTATACGTTCACTCATTTAGAGAGCGATTTATTGCGAGGAGGAAATTGCAACTGATTGCAAATATAAAGCAATATTGGTAACATTTGAATGAAAATATTAATTCGAGATTATACACAAATTTCTTATGTTTGTCTGTATGATACTTGACTATTTTACTTATTTTCTCAATACAGAAACACTTAAATAATATTTTTGCCAATCATATTTCTGAACATCATCTGTATGAAATTCGTCGAATTTAGTGATTCACTAGGGGAGGATCTTCTATAAGAAGTATAAATATTGGAATTTGTAGCATTTAAAGATATTTATCCTGGGAAGCAGTGAAACCGGATCAAAGCTGATGGCATTTAAAATAAATTTAAACATGATGCTATTTGGCCTTTCATAGACCAGATACATCAAGGAATAATGATTAAATATTATATAATGAATAATAGTCTCTTGGCTATACTACGGAAAGGTGATCTGTTAATGATTCAGTTAAGAAAGGTGATGATAACGCTTAAAAATTTAGTCTAGAATCCTAGAAAAATCAAAAAGCAGAGCTTGTAAAATCAGAGCTCAATCTGGCGCACATTGTCCATTTTTTATTGTGATTAAATACATTTTGAAAAAAATCACAATAAACTATGTTCAACTAAATTCACAATGTCGTTAAGTTTTTTTTTAATGCCCAATCAAAAAATGATAATTGAAAGTAACTTCTGGTCCTGTTATGTCTGCATCAGCTCTGTTGATGCCTTGCCAGCACTCATATTCTGCACGAAATCTGCATTTATAAAACTAATTTATGCCTTGTTAACTTGACTCTTTTTCGATACATGAATTATCATAAATCGGACAGAAGATTCCTCGTCTAAATTCTAGCTCTACATTAGTTTGAAATGACCACTGTCTTTTGCAAATCGTCATGAATTAAGCACAAAATCGCGTTAAAATAATAATTTAATTTAATTTTTCATTCCAACAAAAGACTCATTCATAAACACATCTTTCGTGGCAAAGTGAGCAGTTTAAAAACAGAATTTTCAGATTTTTTTAATTCAGATTTACCATTAATCCGCTGTCTACTTTAGATCGATACTTTTCCATTTTCTTTTCTTTATTATTGCCTATTTTTCATACAATTAGTTTTCTCAACAATACCTTTGCGAAACAAATCACTACATAGTGCCAAACTCATTCGTGCTAATAACCAAACTCAACATAATATCGTGTTTTTTTATATTTTTAATAAGTCTTAATCATTTCTTCTCTTTTGTCCTCCCTCTCGATTGTCTGTGTCCTTCAACCCGTCAACTCAACCCTCGATCATGCACAGAATGGGCGGTTGTGGGGGCCCTGGTTTCAGTAACTATGCCTATGACGTCGGACCAGGCTGGCAAGGCTGTGGCTACCTCGGAGGGGTGCCCTGTGGGGGGGTGTTTGGCGGCTGTGGGTGGGGATGGCCGGGAGCCGAGAGCGCGTGTGGTGGCTTTGGAGGTCTGGCGGCCTGGGGTGGTGGCTACGGAGGCTGCGGATGGGGTGGGTGGGGCTGCTGCTAGGTTGACTTCTGACAGGCGTAAGCCTTGAGGTACAGAATGGTGCCAACAAGGCCGGAAGAGCGATGACA